TAAAAAAAGTGGGGTTAAGTGACATCAACAGTCAACAGACCTGGGTAAATACTTTCTTTCTTGTTTTTCATATTTATTCTTTATTTATTATTAGAATAGTAACTAAAATGTAAAAATAAGGATCTCTTTAGGTTAGTGAAAGTGGTTAGATTAGGTAAGATAAATAATAATAATATAAACAAATATTTTACGAGGCACTCACACAAACAGCTCATGGGTAATGTAATTCGATAGCATAAGGTGAGCTCCATGTTCTGTAAGTGATTGACAACTTATAATGGCACGAATAGTAGTTAGACATGGTTCAAAATGCAATAAAACAATAAAATTTAATTATAAACAGATGTATGCTGTTACGAGTTTAAAGCTACATAGGATAAAAGAATAAACAGGTAATTTAGATTTATTTTGATTTTTTTTGGTGGTTACAAGGTTAGTCAAATTTACCAGTCTTGTATAGTTAGGGTAGAAAAAACAACAGATAAAATATAAAGTTTTACTGGAAAAAAATTTTGAAATTTATTTTGGATGTTTTAGAGATTACACAAATGATATTTGAGAATTTTGGGATGAAGAATAGTTTTTTAATCATAATATGAAAATCACTTTGCATTCGGACTAGTAATGAAATAGACTCTACAGAGGGGTCTGATTTTCTATTTGATAGCTTTGTAACCCAAAAAAAATTGAAAAATTGGTTTGTTTGAGTAATGACAATTTTATAGTGAGTAATTGACATTTAATTTTGTAGTTATTGGAGGAGTGTTGGATAAAATAGAGAAGAGGACATAATTATAGAAAATGTCACACTAGGGAAAATTCAGAATTTTTTTAAATATTGCCTTGTAAAATTATATACTATATAATTATATACTATTAAAATATGGATTATTTGCTACAATTTTATGCTATTCTAATGGGTATAACAAACAAGAAGTAGTTTAATAAAATTTTGAATGTAAGATACTAAAACTTTGTGTCATGCACAGTAAAAGATACCCGTGGCAGCCCTTCCTAACCTATTGATGTTTTTGTTTTGAAGATTCTGTGTCTGTGAAAATCATATTTTTTTAATTTTATAAAATTTCAGAAAGACTCACTGACATTTGAGTTTAGTGTTAGTATTGAACTAAACCTTCCTCTTCAATACATTTCAATATGTTTGAATTGCCTTGTGTAATACAAGAAGGCAATTTTCCTATATTAAATTTGAATATTTTTTTATTGAAGTAATAGTTACTTGCCAATTGTTTGAAGTATCCAGCAGTTTAACCTTAATGAGGTATTATAACACAATATTTAGGAACAACAAGGGACTCATTGGCTCATCTAGGCTGTCCCATCCACTAAACTAAACTAAAAGTATTTAAATAAAAACCATCAAAGCCAACCTTTATGATTTATATATTTATCAAGCTTTCCCTCAAACTCACTTAAATTTACTGCCTCCACATTGTCTGAAGACGACCCATTTCAAAAGCCAACAATTCTGCTAGAAAAGTAAAACTGTCTAATCCTACCCTGCCAAAATTTATATTCTCACTGTTAAGTATGAAAAAAGATGATGCATCAACACTGTCAATTCCCTTTACAATTTTAAACACCTCAATCAGATCCCCCTAACTCTTCTTTTTTCAAGAGAAAACAATTTGAGAGATTTCAAACTCTCCTCATATGACAATCCTTCCATCCCAGGCACCATTCTAATAGCCCTCCTTTGAACCCTTTCCAATAATTCAATGTCTTTCCTAAGGTAAAGGAGCCCAAGATTGAAAATACTCCAAATATGGCCTAATCAGTGACCTATACAATGAAATGATAACCTCTTTATACGTTTATTTAATATTTATGTAGGTACAACCTAAAATCTTGCTTGCCCTCTAGTAACAGTACACTGCTTGTATGGCTTAAGAGACTGATCAACCACTCCATCAAGATCCTTTTCTTTCATAACACTCTTAATGTTATTCCCATTCAAATTATATTTATAATTCAAATGATAATAACTCACATGCATTATCTTGCATTTATTATAATTAAAACCCGTCTGCAATTTATTTGCTGAACTCACTAAATGATGTAAATCCTTTTGTAAAACAGCATCCTTCTCCTCACAGTTAGCAACACCCAAGACTTTAATATCATTCACAAATTTAAGTAATTTATTGAACATTTCTTGATCTATCCCACTTGTGACATTAACTCTCCCAACACGAGGTCGGTCAATTTGACTGAGTCATGTGACCTTTTGTACTTGTTTAAAGTGGATATAAATTTAATAATTATAACTATATATATTGGGTATATCTTCACGAAATTTGTCAGTCTTTCAGTTAATATTACAAGACTTTCACATACAAAAAGTCATATTTCTTAGTGAAGTATTACTAATAACATAAAATAAAGTTTTGTCTATGAATATATTGAGTATTTATTTTGAATAGTCCGTGTGCAAAGTAATTTTCATGTTAAAATTAGAAATACTTTTCGTCATCTCAAAAAATCTCAAATTTCCTTTACGTAATCCCTAAAAACCTCCTAAATGCATTTCAAACGTTTTTTTTTCTACTAAATCCTTATAGTGTATATGTTATTTTCTTTACCCTATCTCAAAACTGAATCAGTCAATTCGACCTAACTCATAACCACCCAACAAAAATCAAAATATATACAAAAATTAACCTTCTTTTCTTTCTAGAATGACTTCAAATTGTAACCTGAAACTACATTCGTTTATCCT